ATATATATATATATATATATATATATATATATATATATATATATATATATATATATATATATATATATATATATATATATATATATATATATATATATATATATATATATATATATATATATATATATATATATATATATATATATATATATATATATATATATATATATAAATGTACAAGTACCGAAAGCCTATACCTCATACTTATATTTACCAGACGCAATCAATATATATATATATATATATATATATATATATATATATATATATATATATATATATATATATATATATATATATATATATATATATATATATATATATATATATATATATATATATATATATATACATACACTAATACATTCTCAACGCATTATTCTCAATTCATCATATGAAGATGATAATGCACTCATAGAGACCGACACCTCGACCCTATGCAGCTACAACCAAGGTACCGACTCATTCGTCCGTCAGATTCTCTTAGAACTCACTCCTCTCGCACTTATACGGTTACACTATATAACCTTCGCATCAAGCGAGGTTCTGCAGATCCTACACGGGATCAAATATAACCATCGCATCAAGCGAGGTTCTGCAGATCCTACACGGGATCAAATATAACCATCGCATCAAGCGAGGTTCTGCAGATCCCACACGGGATCAAATATAACCATCGCATCAAGCGAGGTTCTGCAGATCCTACACGGGATCAAATATAACCATCGCATCAAGCGAGGTTCTGCAGATCCTACACGGGATCAAATATAACCATCGCATCAAGCGAGGTTCTGCAGATCCTACACGGGATCAAATATAACCATCGCATCAAGCGAGGTTCTGCAGATCCTACACGGGATCAAATATAACCATCGCATCAAGCGAGGTTCTGCAGATCCTACACGGGATCAAATATAACCATCGCATCAAGCGAGGTTCTGCAGATCCTACACGGGATCAAATATAACCATCGCATCAAGCGAGGTTCTGCAGATCCTACACGGGATCAAATATAACCATCGCATCAAGCGAGGTTCTGCAGATCCTACACGGGATCAAATATAACCATCGCATCAAGCGAGGTTCTGCAGATCCTACACGGGATCAAATATAACCATCGCATCAAGCGAGGTTCTGCAGATCCTACACGGGATCAAATATCACAAATGCATACATATTCGCAAATATATTATCACGCATTCTTCATACATCAACACGTACAATTATCATGCACTCACAATGTGTATTATATTCATCATTCATCACAATTGCCATGCATTTTTATTCAATTCTAAACAATGCATAATTTTCCCAAAGGCCACGATTCAAAATCACATTCATACACTAGGATTCACGCCTTACGGCTACCCACAGCACATCGCAAACCAGCATATAAGCTATTAAATCAAAGAAGGTTCGATCGCAACCGAAACCCCAAGCCACGACGACACGACGCGACAGGGAAAATTCATCCTGCTACGTTCGCTACACGCTCGCCTAGCGAGCTGCTAGCGAACGTTCGCCACCTTCTCGCCTAGCTAACTGCTAGCGAGCAAGAACAGAAGCTACAGACTTCGTTCGCTACCTCGTTTGCTACAACGAACCCCCAACGAGCCATTCGCTACTCCATTCGCTGCCAGTGAAGGAGACCAAAACACCACTGTCCCAAGTCTGGGACCGTTCGCTACGCACTCGCCTAGCGAGATGCTAGCGATCACTCGCGACTTGCTCGCCTAGCGAGCTGCTAGCGAGCGTCTGCGAACTGAACTTTCTCCCACTGTTCAGAATCCAAACACCCGATGAAATCTCCCGATAAATCCCAACTTGTTCCCAGTGGCCTTAGTCCAACATTCCTTGACTAAATTCTACCACTGATTCTCATTTTCAATCATTAAAACTCGGCTTCTACCGATCGAATCAATTTCGACCTAAAATGGAAGTTTATGGAAAACTCTCCAAAACTCTAACCAATCAACCATACACATGCATAACCAAACATATTGATTAAGATAGTAAGATTTCACACCCTTACCTTGGATTAATCGAAGCTTTGAGCTGTTCTTGATGATTCCACACTTTTTTTCCTTCTCTTTTCTCTTTTCTCCTCCTTTTTCCTTCTTTCTCTTTTCTTTCCTTCCTTTCTTACTTTTTTTTCTCTTTCTTTCTATTTTTCTCTTTTATATCCTTCCACTCTAATTCTTTCCATTATTTTCTCTCCAAACATCTACTAACTCATTTCCTCATAAAGTATCTAATTTAACATCAATTAAGAAATATCTCAAATATTACCCAATTAATTTCTCAAAATCCACCAATGATAAAATATCATAATATGCACACCAAACATATTAGATAGTCCATTTCCACCAATAAAGCAATAATCACTCAATTAAATCAAAGGACTCAACAATTAAATACGGAAATCAAAATCGGGGCGTTACAACCAACACCTTCGGCTGCTAGAGTGTTGTCATTTGCAAACTTCACAGTGTTCTTCGACGAGGGCTTCATGTTGACAAACCAATCTTTCCTTCCAATCATGTGTGATGAGCATCCTGAGTCCAAGTACCACTGATCTTGGAATCTTTCTTCATCTCTTGTTGTGACCATTAGCAACGTTTCTTCTTCTTCATGTTTCGTCAGCTTTGCATCAGTCTCTTGATTTCTCTTCCTTTCTGGACAATCACTAAAATAATGACCATACTTCTGACAATTGAAGCATTGAATGTGGCTTTTGTCTGTCTTTCGACCACCACCTCTTCCTTTACCTGCAGCATCACCTCTTTGTTTGCCTTGGTTCCAAGGTTTCTTCTGATTCGACTGGTTTCCTCCTTTGTTGCCATCCAGTTACCTTTGCCTTTTCTTTCCTTTTTTGACCGCGCCTGCAAAGCCATATCTTTCGACTTTCCTGCAGCTCTCTCAGCCATCCTTTGTTCATGAGACTCAAGAGTCCCTTGAAGCTCTTCCTTCGTCAATACTGACATATTTTTCGACTCTTCTATGGCAACTACCACGTGGTCGAATTTTGGAGCCAACGATCTCAAAATCTTTGAGACAACTGCTTTCGTCGTTAGCGCTTCTCCACATACTTTGATTTGATTCACCAACTTTGTAACTCTGGTGAAGAAATCTGTAATGCTCTCGTTGTCTTCCATCTGAAGCAACTCATAGGTTCTCTTGTGAGTTTGTAACCTCACCTCTTTCACCTTCTCTGCGCCTCCAAACGACTTTTCAAGAATCTCCCATGCTTCTTTTGCTGAATCAACATCACTAACCTTTTCAAAGTTATCAGGATCAACACACTGATGAATTATAAAGAGTGCTTTATAATCTTTCTTCTTCAATTCTTTGTGCGCAACCTTTTCCGCCTCCGTTACGTTCTCCCCAAGCGATGTTACTTCGTCCTTCACAAGATCCCAAAGATCTTGATAACAGAAAATCACCTTAATCTGCTTGCACCAATTCTCATAATTGTCTTTCTTAAGAATTGGCAGGGTCGCCGAAAAGTTGTCGTTCGGATAATTCATCGCCATCACTTGAATCTCTCAACCGAAGCTCTAGATACCAGATGTTGGAAATTTACCTCACACCCTATGAAGAATTTCCTTCAATCTTGATCTCAAGATTGATGAACAAACCCACTATATGATAATGATGGTAATAACAAGTAATTATTAATTACAACAAAAGAGAAGAATAATAACAAACAAGAAAGAGAAGAATGAGAGAAGAAGTATTTGGAGAGAATGTGTTACCCACAACTGTGGGATTTCTTATTGAACTTTCACTTGCTAACTGCAACTGTGAAATCTATTCTGTTGTGATGTAAAATGCAAAGCAAGACACCCTATTTATAGTTTTAGGTTTACACTAGCCCAAAACATAAAAGGCCCAAAATATTCTAAATCAAATCTAATCATATGATATCAAATCTAATCATATGATATCTAATCATATCATATCAAATCTAATCATATGATATCTAATCATATCATATCAAATTAATCATATGATATCAAATCTAATCATATGATATCAAATCTAATCATATCAAATTAAATCAAAACAATGAATTACATTTAACAAATATATAGGAATACATTATTTTTACAGTGACATTTATTTCTCTTTCATGGCATCGTTTATTTATATTACACAATAATTTATTTTATTATATGTTTGTTTAAATCTATTATTCTTTTTATAATATTCATTTATATTTTGATATATATATATATATATATATATATATATATATATATATATATATATATATATATCTTTTATATCTATTAAATAATATTTAACTTATATTTTAATTTTTTAACCAATATTTCAGAAACACTCGTTAGTATTTTTCTTTAAAAAAAATGTATATGCCATTGTTAACACCTTAATATTAAATAGATAAAAAATATTTATAGATTTGCTTAAAAAGTTTCTAAAGAACAAAAATTCATTTAATTTTTTTCAAACTAAAAAATGACTTACATCAATTATATAAAAGTGTTTAATATTTATACCAAACAAATGTGTTTAGTGTCTAACTAATAGTACTATACTTGAATATTAAATTGTAAATTATTTGGAATTTTTTGACTTGATATAATATTATTATTTAATTTTTTATCATACACTTTCTTATTCTTCTTTTCAATTCTTTTAATTTTTCTTATCTTATTTTATTATTTTTTCAGGCATTATCATCTTATTATTATTATTGAAAAATTTAACACTTGTATTGATTTTAGATTTATTTTAAAACTTTATTTAGTCTATAATTAACACTTGAAAATTTTAACAGTATAATTACTGGTCAAGTTTTTTCAAAAGAAAACTTTTGGTCAACACGGTCGTTCTTCAACAAAAAGCATGTTTCTTTTCCTCATTCTAAACTCCCAAAATTCAATCCTTCAAAATTCGCACTAAATTCAATTCAATTCAATTCATTTCCCCATTTCGTTTTCCCATCAATTCTCACAAACTCAACACACACAAAAATGAACTCATCAACCCCGACACCTTCTCCTCCACCGGATTCTACCTCCGGCGATACCGAACCATTCCTCCTCCGTACTCGCCGCTCCATCAGCCGCGCACCACCTCCACCACTCCGCACCGCCGCTCGTTTCTTCCGTCGCGCTAGCTCAGAGCGTATGATGCTCCGTGAACCATCGTTGCGTGTCCGAGAGAGGGCGGCGGCGGAGGTGGAAGAGCGGCAGAGTGAGTGGGCTTACTCGAAACCGGTGGTGACAATTGACGTGGCGTGGAACTTGTCGTTCCTCGTTGTTAGTGCTGTCGTTTTGAGTGGTAGCAGGAATGAGGAGCCTCGTGTGCCTCTTAGGGTGTGGATTTTGGGTTACTTGTTGCAGGGATTGGTTCATTCTTTGTTTGTTGTTTTGGAGTTCAGAAGAAGGGGGAGGAATAACCATTTTGAAGATTCTTCTTCTTCGAGTTTCAGTTCTGAGAGTGATTCTGATGTTGCTTCAGAACAGTTTTCGGAGAATCGTGAAAATAGGTACAAACAACTCTCTCAATTCCAATAATCTTGACATTTAGTTTTTTTATGTGTAATTAGTTTGTTTTAGATAAAGTTAATTTAATTGATAGAATCTTGTTTTCTAATGGTAATTAGAGAAAATGTTAGGGTCCGGTCCGGCGGACATGCCTGGTTTGTCTGCACTTTTTCGCTCGGTGAGGTACGATTTTAGCCCACACCACCTAATATGACTGCCTCGTCAGGCTCTAAAAGTTTAGTGTCTGCGGGCCAACCACACCCCACACTCATATTTTGCAGGGTAGAAAATGTTTTAGGCTCGTGCCATCAAGTATTCCCGCTCCACCCTGCCCTTTTTATTTGGTGGGGAGTAATCGGGATGGGTATGCGTGTGTGTGCCATCCGTAATTGTAGAAGGATAATGCTTTGCTTTCTGATCTCATGATAATCAACCATTCAATATATGCATTGCATTATGTCATGACACAGTTCAAATTTCAGGCTTTTGCGGGGTGTAAACAGAGTGGGCATGCTCGTTTGCCTTCCGTAATTGTAGGAGGATAATGCTTTGATTTCTGATCTCATGAGAATCAGCCATTCAATATATGCATTGCATTATGTCATGACAGGGTTCAAATTTCAATATATGCATTGCATTATGTCATGACAGGGTTCAAATTATGTCCATGATTCAGAGTATCTTGTTGTGATTGTTGTTAAGGCTTTGCTGTGTTTAGCATTGGTGGAGTATATAGCTCTTTGTTTTTGGTCATATGCAAGTTTATAAACTGTATTTTTTCGTTCAATTTCAGTATCTTCAAGTGCATAGAGTCAGTAAATACCGTTCTATCATTCGTATGGTGGATTCTTGGATTCTACTGGGTAACTGCTGGTGGTCAGAGTTTGACAAGTGATTCACCTCAACTTTATTGGTTAGTTACATCTTGGAACAATATATATTATCAATAAATTTGTTTGCTTTATGCATTTGTTCATTGTTTCTACCTTGTAATTGTGTAACCACTAACCATCACGCATGTTGTATTTTGCAGGCTCTGTATCACATTTCTTGCTTTCGATGTTGTGATTGTTGTGATCTGTGTTACTGCTGCGTGTCTCATTGGAATCGCTGTTTGCTGTTTTCTTCCATGCATACTTGCTATTTTGTATGCCGTGACTGATCAGGTAACACAAATCACAACAATCTTTTTTCAACTTTAACAGACTTAATTTGATATTTAATGTGGGAACAGGAAGGGGCAACCAAGGAAGAGATTGACCTGTTGCCAAAATATAAGTTCAGAATGATAAAGGAATTCAAGAAAGAAGGTGATGCCCAAGAACCATCCAGAGGAGTGATGACAGAATGCGACAGCGATTCAGCTTCTGAGCATATTATTGCCCTAGAAGATGCAGTAAGTTCCTAGTTATTAAATATGGATTATGTTTTTAGAATACTTCACAATCATTCATTCCATCTTTTAAACATGAATAAGTGGGATGTCACGGGTTCGAACCTGCACCCCTGCAGCGTATGTCTCTGTACAGCTACCAACTGAGTTGGTTTATCAGGACTATCCTTTTATATGTTTTGATGGATAGGTAATTGCAGGAATGCTGTATCTGTCTTTCGGCCTATGATGATGGAGCTGAACTTAGAGAACTTCCTTGCAACCACCATTTTCATTGCACATGCATTGACAAATGGCTGCTCATCAATGCGACCTGCCCTCTCTGCAAGTTTAACATTTTGAGCACTGATAACCTCCAAGTTTGAACTAGTTACTTGGTGTGCTGACAAGGCCCGCGGCACAACCCTTCTTTGTAACAATCCCAGATGATATACTGATAAAAGTTAGAGAAAGAAAAAATAATTTTCATTTCTAATTTGGTTACTAAATGTTATACCAATTTCATCTTTTCTCTTACCTAACAAAGTCATAAAATAGAATGAAAATATTAAAATCCCTCTAGTAGTGTACCCATATTCAAAAGATGTCCAATTACAAAAAGAAAAGAAAAAAAACAAAGCCAACACATTAATAATTTCTTTGAATATTATTCAGCCAAACTGGAATCCCAGTTACAATCTCTGTGAAACCATTGCCGGCCACCGGAATTCCGGTCACCGGAAAAGAATACTCCATTGCTTTAACCCTCACTGAAATATTAATAACACCATTTCTCCTAACCTTACTATCCCATAACCTATAACTCAAAAACTGAACTCGATTATCCTGCACATACAAATCCGAAACTGGTATTCTCGCCGATCCAACACTCTTAACATTCCCCCATGATGTTTTGTATTTCACATCAGCTATCAAAAACCTTGATTTCAATGGCACCTCTATTACAAGCTTCTCATTCCATGAAAGGAAGTTTCCATTTCCACAGCCACATTCTTCTAAGTTTTCTTTGGTGGTGTAACAGTTTTCATTATTTGAACTGGAATCAGAACAAAGAGAAACAAATGCGTTTTTGTTTATGGAGTTTTTACTCACGTGGAGATTTTCAGCGTTTAAAATGGTGATTTCTGGAGTGTGATGCATTAGAGTAGTTAGCTTCAAAAATGTTGAAAAGAATTCAAAGTGTGTGGGAAATGAAATGGGAAGAAGTGGGGATATAAATGTGGGTTTGTGAAGGAAATGTGAGGGAAAGAAGAGAGAAAGAGAGAGGTTGTTTCTTTGTGTTATGGAAAAGTTTGAGAGGAATGAATAAAATGTAATGAATGGGGTATGGTCCAATTTGTGAAGGACTATGGAAAATGGTTGTTGACATTTTGAAACTGTGGTTAGGGGTTAGAAAAATGAGATAATGTCAGTGGTTGTTTGGACTTGTTGGTGGCTGAAGTTACTTGGAAATTTGTTGGGAGTTTCCAAAGTTTTGTTGGGAAATGGTTGTTAACCTGCTCCAAAATCTCAATGCAAAGCAAATTTTATTTTTTAATATATTAAATAATTAATATATTTAGTACGTACATTAACTATTTAATATATCTAAAAATTAAAATTTATTTATAATATGAGACGGAATAGTAACTTCTAATCCTACGAGTTACTCAATTGATTATATAACAAAAGATTATAAAACCAATTTTATTAAAAACTATAATCATTGTCCACAACATTGTTTATGTATGAATATATGGACTCTTTGCAAAGAATTTATCGTAAACATTAATTAATAAAGAGATTATTATTCTTGTGCTCCAATAATAAAATGACATCATTCAAGTTAGTAAAGAATCGTAATACTTTGTGAAAGAACGTATTTTATTAAGGATCGTAATACTTAATAAAAAGTTGTAATATTTGGTGAAAATTTGTGGTTTATCAAGGGTCACAATCTTATGAAACAACACTATTTAGTATGTAAATAAATTGTTTTGGAATCAAAAAAATATACCAATTCGAACTCTCCTCTTCCTTGTTTAAATTTCAGATTTATTTCTTCTATACATTCGAGTTTTCATCTGTTTTTTCAAACTCGAAGTAGACTGGACTATCCTAAACATTCATGGGTGTAGGTAGTGGACTCTCAGACAAAAAATAGAGATTGCTTGAAATACTATTAGAAAATGGTTCATGTGAATGATTCTAGCCTTGATCCATTTAACTTAGAAATGATTTCTAACAGATTAATAGTATTTCAAATAATGACAACTGAGGCTTCTGTTTCAAGCATCGAAGTGATGAATAAAGACCTTGTGAAGTTGGATCGTTTCGATGTGACAAACTTCACTTGCGGGAAAGACAAGATGATTTTCCTTTAGACTGCTTTGAAGATCTTCTATGTATTGGATCCTGAACTCGCACCGATTCTAGAATCGCAAGATGATAATTTCGAGGAACTCAAGATAGAATGAAAGAATTAGAAGGCGGGTGAGTTGTTGTGTTGTTGACACATTCTGAAAACACTATATGATAGTCTCCATGATCTCTACACTAACAAGCTTCGTGTTGAGGAGGAAGGTACTAAAAAGTTTCTAATTTCAAAGTATTTCAATTTTAAAATGTTAGATTCAAAGTCTATACTTGCACAAGTGCACGAGTTATAAGTTCTTGTAAATAAACTGAGGGTTGTGAAGATGGATATCCTGAAGATTTCCAAGTTGATGTAATTGTTTCAAAATTGTTATCTTCATGAAAAGCTATAAGAAGAAGTCGCTTCACAATTCTGACGACTTCTCACTGGAGCAAATTCAAAAACATCTTCGAAACGATGAGGACTCGAAAGATAGAGAGAAATATAAGATTGATGGATGTTCTAAGGCCAATACGGTGAACACAAAAGGAAATAAGAAACAAATGATAATAAGAACTATCTTGGTCCTAAGAAGGATCAAAATAAGTTCCAGAATTATGGAGGACCAAAGGGCCTTAATGGCGAGTGTTATGTGTGTGTGGTAAACATGGTCATTATGCTCCATGTTGCAAGTCCAAAAAGTTTCAAAAAGAGGTAAATGTTGTTCAAACGATGATAACATAATTACTATTATAAGCGAAATTATGCAATCAAAGTGGTGGTATGATACTTGTACTATTGTCCATGTTTCCTATGTCAAAATGGTGTTCATAAATGGACATCTTGATGAGGAGATTTACATTGAGCAAACAGAAGGTTATGTACTTCCTGGTAATGAACATCAGGTGTTCAAGCTTGTCAAATCCTCGTATGGATTAAAACAATCACTAAAACAATGACATCAAAAGTTTGACATTGTCAAATCCTTTTATGGATTAAAACAAGCACCTATAAGTGTTTGTACACAAAAGTGCATGAGAACATTGTGATATTTCTTTTTCCTCTATGTTGATGACATTTTAATCATTGGATACAAGATGAGTGAAACTTTAGAAATAAATAGTTTTATAACTTCCACATCAAGATGAAAGATCTTGGATTAGTTGACACTATTTTGGGGATCAAAGTAAAGCAAAACGGCGGGGGTTATGAACTTAGTCAAAAACGTATGTGGATAAAGTGCTTGATAAGTTCAAACACTTACGTTTCATGGAACTGAGTACTCCATTTGATCCTAATGGCAAGCTTCAAAAGAATGATACGAGAATTATGGTTCAATAAGAATATGCAAGTGCGATTGATTATCTAATGTATTTGATGCAATCTACTAGACTCGACATAGAATTTGAAATTAATAAAATAAGTTAGTTTACTAGCAATTCAAATGGTGAACATTGGAAGACCATCACAAGGATTTTTGGTTATCTGTTGAAAAACAAAAATCCCGTCCTTTAGCATGGTAGTTTTCTTGCAATATTAGAAGAATATACCCATGAGAGTTGGATGTTGAGTGTTGGAAATCATAAATCTACAATTGGATTGATATTTAGACTAGTTGGGGTGAAATTTATTGGAAGAGAAAAAAAAACATGTATCACTCTCTCAACCATATAATCAGAGTTTGTGGCTCTTACTTCCGTTGGTCATGAAACTGAATGGTTAAGGGTTCTTCTGTTGAAAATTCCAATGGATAAAGACAACGTTTCAATGATATTGATACATTACGATAGTCAAGTCACTTTAGTTAGAGCATACAACGAAGTGTATAATGAAAAGTCTAGGCACATAGGTCTTAGACATTTCTTCGTGAAAAATCTGTTTAAGGATGAAATCATTTCACTTACATATATGTTCAAATTATAATTTAGCTGATCCAATTATTAAACCACTAGCCAGATACTTAGTAAAGACTACCTCAAAAGGTATATGAGATTGAAACTCATTGAGTTAGAGTTCCAACAATAGTAGCAACCCAATCTAACATTAAGAAAACACTAACCTTATATCAAAGGATGACAATAAACCGCTAATTTGGATGTTTTTTCAACATTATGTAATAATGTTGACTATTGCATTTGGAGGTTTGAGTTTCTCCAAACTCTTAATGAAGTTAAATGTTGAGAATATACATCTCAAGTAAAGTAGATATTATATGAACTTCATCAATGTGATTTTAGATATGATGTCATCTCAAAGTAAGAGTTGGAGTTTCTCTCACAATAAACTCACGAGACAAAAAAAGAACATTGACATAAATAGTGTTAGGCGAGAGATGTAGGTGAAAAATCAGTAATAATGTGTGTAATGTAACATTGATCTAATCACAAGGAATAATTGGTTCAAAGCTTTGATACCTGAAATTCCAATTAGATTTTATGTTGTCTTTACTAAGGTCTAGTTTAAATCGAAATACACTTAACTTTATTAGCATTCTTTATTTCCTTTTTTGTAATTCATCTTGTCATTATTATAATAAATTAAGGATTTTTGTAATTATTAATTAATGAAGAGATTAGTTAAATACATGATTATTTTTGCGTTTCAATAATAACATGAAGGTTTTCAAGTGAGTAATGAGTTAGTAAAGAGTTGCAAAACTTGGTGAAAGGGTGCGTATTATCAAGGGTTGCAATACTTAGTAAAGAGTTGCAACACTTGGTGAAAGGGTGCGTATTATCAAGGGTTGCAATACTTAGTAAAGAGTTGCAACACTTGGTGAAATGATGTGTTTTATCAAGGGCCGCAACACTTAGTAAAAATTTGTAAGACTTGGTGAAAATGTATGTTTTATCTAGGATCACGATACTTATTAAAGAGCTGCAACACTTGGTAAAAACATGTGTTTTATCAAGAGTCGCAACCTTGCGAAACAACACTGTTTAGTCTATTAATAGACTATTTCGGATTTAGAAAAACATATCAATTTGAATTCTCCCTTTCCTTGTTTAAAATTTAGATTTTTATCTTCTCTGCATTCGAGTATTCATCTATCTTCTGCAAACTCGAAGTAGGTTGAATTATCCTGAGTATCCCTACGTGTAGACTCTGAGACAAAATAGAGAGTGTTTGAAATGCTATTATATGAAAGTGCTCATATGCATGATTCTAGTCTTGTTCCATTTAGCTTTGAAACAACTTATAAAAGGATTTAGTGTCTATGTTGCTAGAAAATCAAAAGTGTCAAAGTTAAATGCTATGAAAGCATATTGGTTCTTGCAACAAGTTTTCTCATATATGACCACTTTCCTTAAAGCGGTTTTAAGGGCAAAATGTCTTGCAGTAAAACCTTTAGTCCTCAGTCCTATTAGTGAGAAAACTTCAGTCAAATCCACACATATATATTTTCTTCTTATTCACTTGTATACTAGAACATAAGTTGACCTAATATTAAAAAATAAAAAACATAGAAATATTTATAAAAAAAATTGTTAATTTCATTTTTTTTAAATCAATGTACAATTTAAAAACCATAATTAAAATATCACTATACCTAAACTTATTATTATACACAAAATCAATGCAATAGTTAACGCCACATAGGTTTTAATATTAGAGACAAAAGTATGAATGAAAAATTTTAGGAGCGCAATTCTTTAAAGAAAATATTTTGAAAGATCAAAAACGAAATTTTAGATATTTAGGAGAAAAACAAACATATTTAATCCTATATATATTTATTGTGACTACAATAAAAGAAACCATGTCTATGATAAGATACCAAATGCCACTTTTCGGGATTGATATA